TTTCTTAGAATTGCAGTGCAAGAGGTTGGATTTTGAAACTTCTACTTGCCAGGAGCTTCAGCTAAAGACATGGCAATTTATTTCTCATGCTGGCATATGCTGAACTTGTATATTTCTCCCCATCAGCTGTAAGGAGTATATATGAAGTACGAATCTATACTGCAGTCCTCCTGTTAGGTAAGGTGATACCCATCTCGAGCCTAGGCTTAAACTAACATTCCTGAAACTGTTTCTTCAAAGTAGTAAATGGAAAGAACCTCTCATTCAGATGATATGATTCACAGACTACAGGGAAGACTAGGAAGAGTAGTTCCTAAAAAAGTGTGATGTTTCAAATGGATGGCATAGAAATAAGAAGAAAGGAGGCAGGGAAAGTTATTCCTTCATACAATCTTTGGATCTGAGTTTAAATTGTGGGTTTATCAGTTTTCATATTGAAAAAGCTTTGATGAAAGCAATTTTCATTTAAAACTTGAAACTGGAAATTGTATTCAGACTGCTGGAATTCTTTGTTTCAGAAGAGAAAAAAGAAAATGAACTGGTTAAAGGCAATACTTAACAGTTTTCAAATCATATTTTGGTTTTTCTGATTTAAAATCACTGTCTGCTTTTAAATGGCATATAATAATGCAACTGAATATAAAATCACAGTTAGGACAAAAAGCATCTAAAATATTTATTTTTTAAAAAAATTCTATTATTGTTATTTGATAAAGAAAATTGTAGTAGTCTTATGATGTCATCTTCAAAAATATTAACCATAGTTATTCATGCTGGCATAAGTTCATTGTTTTGTGTGTACAATTACATAAGATTTAGGTGATTTCTCAACTTTCTAGGCTTATTAGAAATATTTTACTTGGAGTGGCAGAAAAAATATATAAAAATATTTTAGACGTCAAGGTTTTTTCATGTATTTTATATACATTTATATACATTTCACTGAAGACTGGTTCTAAATCAAATTTTAACTGACTTAGTAAATAATTTTTTTTCAATCTGTTAAAAGAGATATTTTTTTCTCTATAGATATGCCAATATTGACTAAACCAATGCCATAATTTTAATTTTTCCATTATCATTCAGCTGGTATTTTTTGTATACTTCATTCCAAAAATAAAAAAGGTAGGAGTCCGGTGTTACACGACAAATAGATTACATGGAAGTTCCTATTGCAAGGTTAGACTTTTGCTTCTTCGTTGGACCTTCAACCTTCAACACCCAAAACACTGAATGAGGCAAAACATGTATAAATAAATCAAAGAAATTAAATGAATTATATGTTTTAGGGTGATTGAAAAGTGTCATAAGCATCTCCTTGTTTGGGAATTTTGTATATAGTAAGAATTTCCTCCAAAATAAGTTTTCACTGGCTTTTTTTTTTTTCATCACAATTTGTCCTGGTTCTGGCCAGGACAAAGTTCATTTTTGCAGTACGGTGAGGGGCATGGTTATGACCCAGAGGTTATTCTACACCACCTCACATCATTGCTGGGGCTGGGGGAAAGAGACTCTCTCTTATGGGGAGAAGAGGTTGCTTCTGATGGGGCCAGCTTGGTGGACAGAGCGGTTGGGTAATGCCAGTCCTGAGATGGGGGAGTGGTTGTGGCTCTGACTGGGTCACAGGCTCCACAGTGGGCATTTCTGTATGTGAATTACTCTTTTACACACTTTTGTTATTGATATTGTTTCTGTTACTGTTTGTTTTCTTGTCTCACTGCTGATTCCAGTAAGTTTCTCTTATCTCATCTATTGCCATGATTTTTACGTTTTGTGCCTCCACTTCTCACCAGTCACCTTCAGGGGAGAGGGGGTGGAGGGAGGGTGGAATGCATAGCAGTGTGGTTTTAGTGGGAGCAGTAAATTGGAGAATACCATTCCTAAATGACAACAAGTTTCCTCTTATTGTCCTGACAATTGCTTTTCCTCCCAATGAATTTTTTTTCAGGTAGTGTTTAAACACTGTTTCAAATCTGATAAACTTGAAAGGATGCAGTGCACTTAAGACTGAGGATCTTTTTTTCCAAGAAGACAGAGAAAAATTGCAGGATAACAAATGTGTATAAAAATGAACTGCTAGGGAATCTCACTGATTATTTGTTTGATATTTGATCATATTCATACTCCCAATCATCCCAGAAGGATAACTGTGGTGACAAAGCTCACTGTTTAGCCATGAATTTGCTGTGTGAGTTTATGTATACATATATACATATATATATAATACCTGCATAGCTGTACATGTTTCTGAAAGTTGGTATTGAGAATTATTGGGAGTGTCTGTCCTTTTTCATGAGACCAAGGAAATTTCTTTTCTGAATTCTCCAACTTCATTTATTATTCTTTTTTTTTTTTTATCTTCTTTTGCAGGGACTCTGAACAGCATTCATATTGTTTATTTACTTTCCCAATTTAGAAGATATCTTAAAAGATTAACTACTGTTACTTCAAGTATTCAAATATTGTCTGCAATATATATAAAGAACTGTAGAAAATCTGACATGACCTGTGGCTGATAGAACTATTTATTTACAACAAAGTCAACATATTTCAGAAATGATCAATGTTGGGTTTTACATTCATGAAGTAATAGCTGGCAAACCCTACAATGATGAATAGACTTAAAACCAAGAGCCTACTGGGACCCAAGAGCACAAAAAGATGCATGGCTCCCGTGTGGTGATATACAAAGACTGCAGAGGGTTGCAGCTAACTAGAGAAGGCAACAAAGCCTATGGCACCATGGTGAATAAAAATATTAAAAGTGCCACTGTAAATAGTAGTCTGAACAACACAGGAGAGGAGAGATTATGAATTAATTATTTTAGTTTGGTTTTAAAATCTTCTGATGGTTCAGATTGATGCAATTACAGAGTCACAGACTTACAGGCTGGAAGGGATATCTAGAAGTCACCTAGTCCTACTCCTTACTGAAAGCAGGTCTAATCCAAGCAGGTTGCCAAACATCTCCAATGACAGAGATTCCCCCTACTTCTCTGGTCAGCTTGCTACAGGATTTTACTGCTCTGATGGTTAAAGAACAAAGTAACAACAACAAAAAAATTCATAATACAGATTCCCATGTTACAAGAAATAATGATTTTTATGTCACTAGGATTTTACTACTTTTATTCCACAATATTTTGTGGGGTTTTTTTCTGTTGTAAAGTTAGAAGACCACGTGTTGCTGTGATATTTGTAACTCCAGTGAATCAGAATATGTCCCTCTCATATCAACCAAGATACATAAATACAACTTTGCAAATGGTAAATATTTTGTTCCCTTCATCATTCAGACATCTAGACACTTACCTAGTAACATGTTGTGGCCCTGTAAAAAATATCTAAGTATTTTGTGTCACCAAAATGTCTTTCTCAAACTCAGAGGGCTTTCTCATCCCCTTTCTTGCCAGCTTTTTAGATTATTTGCATTAGATAATGGGTTATAATTTCATTTTAAATTAAATAAACATTATTTTACCAATTAAATTATTCTACTCCAAAGAAAAACAATTATTTAATTAAACCTTTGGTAATGGTTAAGCAAACTTACCAATGTGTACATTTAAGTTACAGCAAAGCTTTTTTTTCCAGCTTCTGCAAGTTTATTATTCCTTTTGGGAAGGATTTTTCCCTCAGCAAGTCACTTCAGGGTTCACTTCCGCCCTCATAAGCTATTTGATACTTGGAAACAGTATTCTACACTGCATCCTCCACCTCAGTGGGAAAAGGTATTTCTCACCCTGTAATAATCTACAGACAAACAGCAAAAATTTTGGGCATATTCCCTACCTACCTCTAGTCTTTCCTTGCCTATTCAAGATGCAGTGAAGCTCCATTAAAGTCAAGGTGTAAATAGCCTGCACAAAAGAATAAAGGAAATTTATATTTGCATTACTTCAATTTATGTAAATATAAAAGAATCATGTTCAGAGTCCAGATCACTTCTATTTCTAGGATGTGCAAAGCACACATTAGTCAAGGAATAACTTTTAAAAGCCTCTAATGTTTTTGCTACAACTGTTTTAGAGAAAGACTTTGGAACATAAGTAAATGTTAACATTTTGCCTAAGGATATTATAATGCAGAATGTGTCAATTGCCAGCCATTTCATATCCAAAAAACAAAACATAAAACAAATTCTTCTGCCCTCTCCATTCAAAATTTAAGTAACTCAATGGATGAAGAACACAAAATTGGAATTTTACATGCACACACACCCACATACAAAAATCCTTATATATCTAAGTATCATTACAATGTACGTAAATATCATTAAGTACATATTCACACTACATATACATGTAGAGGTGTGTGTGCATGTGTGCATTAATTAATTAAAATATTTTTTATTTTATGCCTGCATATGCATCTGTGACCATACATATACAGAGTGAGAGCATGAGAGTGAATATACACATTACCTGGTATTTTTATTTAGAGTTAATTTACAGTTTTACAGCTTCTGAACTAAGAGAACTACATATGTTGTGATTCCAACTGTGAGTCACTGTGATGGAAATAAATGCTTAATGAAAATAGCCCATAAAACAGTTGCATTTAATAGAACATAACTGAAAAATAAAGAGATAACAAGGAACAATGATACTCCCACATATCTTGCAATATTCTTTTAAAAAAATTTTTTTGTAAATAGCAATCTAATCGAAGACAGTCCTGAAGAAACAATTTTTCCTTTGTTGCAGCCTTGAACTTTGACTCAAACAATCTAGGTCTATAGTCATCTGGTGAACATATGGGTATTGTTCATCCCCTAGACAAATGCAGTCCAAATCCATAGATACTTCTTTGACATTTTAGGACTGCAAGCCAGACAATGCTATGACCTGATTCTCCTTCCTGGACTTAGTCAGGTGGTGGGGGATATATTACTAATGCAGTTGTCAATTTGATTTATGCAATGGAAATGTTTTTGACTCAGGTATAGGTTGCATAAACATAGACAGAGAGCAGCCCCAAGCTGCCATTAGGGTTAGGGTTCAGAGAGACACAAGCTCCAGAGACAGTGAGGATGGAAAAGACCTGCCAAGGGAAGTACAGCCCTGCACCAACGTTGTTTCCTGCACACATTTCCAATCTGGGCCATCCAGGTGGGGTCTCACAAGAGCAGAGTAGACGAGTAGAATCACCTCTGCCAAACTGCTGGTCAGACTTCTTCTGACGAAGCCCAGGATACAGTTGTTTTTCTGGGCTGCAACCACAAATTGCTGAGTCATGTTGAGCTTCTCATTTACCAACACCCTCAAGTTTTTCTCCCCAGATCTGCTCTTAATCCATTCACTGACCAGCCTTTTTTTGCGGTTGGGATTGCCCTGATTCAGATGCAGGACCTTGCACTTGGCCTTGTTGAACTTCATGAGTTTTCCATAGATCCACCTGTCAAGCCTCTCAAGGTCCCTCTGCATGGTGTTGCTTCCATCCAGTGTGTTGACTTCACCACAAAACTTGGTGCTCTGTAAATCTTAAAAATAATCACTGAAGTTCAAGTGAAAAAAAAATTATTTACCTGAAACTAAACATTTCTGATAAAAACTGTTTAGCAGTAAAACAAAACAATTATTTAAAAAATTCTCTGTACTTTGGCTTACAGAAATGAAGATACTGTAAAACATAATCTACTTGCTGAAGTTGGTATGGAATTCAATTCTATGTCATTTAACTAAAAAGATATCTCTCTATCACATTTTTACATTTTTAGCATATTTTACTGTCCTTTTGACCCCTCTGATAACAAGGATATTCTCAGACCTTCTCCGAAGAAAAAAAAAACAACCCACATAAAATCAATGTAAAATGACAGAATGCAATGAAAGCAATTTTGCAGCATCAAAATTTAAATGAACAGCAGAGTTTTTGGATGCTTATCAAAACCAAGCCAACTAATACTTTAAAATGTGACCGTTATTCCTGCATACAGTAAAAATGATGGAGTGAGCCAAAGTCAGTAAAATCCTGTGTCATCACAGAAGAACACTTCAGTAGAATCTGCATCCATAACCATTCAGAAGTCGATTTGCTTCCGTGGAGTTTTGTTTTGGTTTGTTATTTCATCACAAGCACTATAATGTATAAGGTTTTCTGTGGTTCAATTTGACATTAGCTGTACTATAACAATTCTATAACAGCCTTTTATTTTATCTGGAAGTGTGTGCACTTACACTTGTTTACACACCTAACATTACCATCTTCTTGGTATAAGGGAGGAGTAATCAGCTCAGTTTGCATTTGCTTACATGGCTGTCTTAATTGTATATAGTCACAGCTCTGTACATATATGTCTGTGTACTTATATGTACATATATGCCATATGTACTATTTTTGTGGGCTAGCTCCAGTGTCTTACAGCATGGTTAATTTATGCACTTTTTTTTTCCAAATACAATTCATTTCTAATAACTGAAACTGTTTTATAGCCAGTCTCTGAAACAGCCAATTGGGATAAAAATTTCATTCTTCTCAGCACTGTGTAGGTGGTAATTTTGCATATCACATGCAAATAGTCCTTGAAATTCTGTTTTAGAACTGGAAAGTATTTATTTTTCAGATTTATGGAAAATAAAAAATTAAAGTTATATTGAGTTTTACTGAACCTGAGAGCTGGAGATAAAAAGAATGAAAATCCCATTTTCTCATGAACTTTCTCCTAATTACAAATGAAACTTACATGTTATTAAAATACATATCACTGTTTCATATTTATCAAGATTCTGTCTTGAAATAAAAGCTGCTTAGTCAAAGCTGATGTAAGAAATTTGGTAATGCTCTAGTACCCAATTCTTAGTCCTTTTCTAGAAGGCTTCTGACAGAATATTGTCCTGTTAAAGACACGTCATAAGAAATAGGTAGGAAACAAATGACAGAGATTCTACTGCTTATTTTCATGATGAAAAATAGAGATTACAAGATTGAGAGTTCTTTTGTGAGAGCTGAACTGTGCTTTTTGGCAACACTAATAAGCGATTTCGGTTTTTATTTCAAGTAAGATTCAGTTCCTGTTTCCAAAACTATAGTACATTTCATATAACATTATTTATATAGCAAAAAAATTGAAATAATATTAAAACACATAGCTTGAATAAAGCAAATGATGATTCAGTCTCACAAGATTAGTCTCAATGGGTAACACAACAAGTAGACAATAGATATTGTCAATTACGTATCACTTTGATCATCTATATTTTTGCATCTACTCTTTTACTGCTGAGGCAAAGCATCAGACAAACAAAATACTAAAGACTTTACTGTTCAAGGAGACAACACTTCTCTTTAATAAAAAAATGCACCTTAATTACTCTCCCAATATCAGCCTTTTCATCCTGTTTTTCTTGAACTCCACTATCATAGCACTCACTTATTTCTCTTACATCCTTACTTGAGGGAGCAGATGATCAGCAGTAAAGCATTTCATGGGAGAAGGACAACCTAATACTCTTCATGAAATAGTGAAAAGCTTAGTACCAGACACTACTGGCACTACATAAACTACCACTTTGTGAGTCTGAGTTCTTGTGGTCAGGCATTGCCTCTGATCAGCTCATTATTCTTGGAAAGAGCTGATGCTTGGTATTCCAATCAAAATGGCCAGTCCTCCAGTAAAACTGACAAGAAATAAAACATTCTGCTGGAAATTGATCCCTGTTTTCCTAAATTATTCATAAATCCCACATTCAGAACACAGTGCTCTGCACCCACTTCTTGAGCCAGAGAACTGATACAAGTTGCCCTTGGATAAGACTGCTAAATCTCCACTTCAAACTCCAACAACAATTTGAAAAGCCTCAGGAATCATCTTGCCTTGAGCAGTTGACATTGGCTTTCAGTAAAAAAAAAAAATCTAAAATATATTTTTATTTCTCAGAGATTCTTTCTTGTATTCTCCAATCATTTGATCTGGGCTAGGTAACAGATCTTACTATAAAAGTAAATAAAACTGAAAACTGGAATGTGACTGGAAATATTGTAACAGCAAATATTTTTGTGTGGTATCCCACCAAAGTAAAAATAATGGAGTCTATTGTTTTGTTTGTGACTGTGGTTGCAACCGCATGTTAAATGTTACTTCCAAAAAGGGACATAGCTGTCCAAGACAGATGTTAGATGTTTTCAGTCCAAAACTGAAAAGGAAACTACACCAGTTTGAAGACCACCATACTTAAACCCCACTGCGCTGTTTAAACTGTGTTACAGACAAGAATACAGAATTCAAGAAGAAACAAAATAAAAGTAAACATAAGAAATATAAAGAAGTTGTGGGACACAGTCTGTATTTTCAGAGATTAATTTCATTTTACTTCATTTCAGCAGCTGTTGGAAAAGAGGCAGTCCAAGCAGGTAAAAGTATCAGTAAAAAAGCAATTCCAGCTTCTCCTGTGTCCTGCCGAAGATAGTCTTTATACTACTGAATGCTACTGAATACTCATATTTCCTCCTTCTTTCTCTGTTTAAGAATATCCACTACTTTTTAATGTTCCTTAACAATTAAAATATAAATGTCAGTAACGTTCAATGGTAACATTTATAAAGGCCTGATTAGCTTTGAACAAAGACATTTTTGACAGCATAACTTTATGAACAAAACAACATTTTCAAAAAAGAGTGGTGGTCTAGCATTGCAGAAAAAACAACATTGACCAGTTCTGCATATTGTCAGCACAAATTAAACCTTGCAATAGTTCTCAGGAGACAAAAGCTGTTATATTCTTTCTCCCCTATGAAGGCTCAGCAAGACAAAGCAATTTTTTGAGAAACACAAGTGACTAATGTTGAATGAGGCAGCAGCTGCATCCCCAGGGGTCTGAGTTAGCACCTGAAATACCATTCAAACATTTCTGCCCCTTTTATTGCCATCCTTGCTAAAGTATTTGAAAGTGCTATCTATTCCAAGTAGGCAATTTTGACAGCAACTTGTACTGCTTAAACATATATTAACTATGTTAAATTGAACTGAATGTAATGCTGGGAAGCCTTAATATAGGCCATTAGAAGATGTAAGGAGATAAACCTCACATAAGGAGAAAATGCTGTCTCTGGCCATCTGCTTGTCCTGGTAACACAGAGAAAATTTGCAATATGCAACAATTCCCTCAACTTACTGAACAGCAGGTGCCCGTCTTTTTCTTCAGCTGTCCAAAAACTGTTCCCTTACAACTCTCCTTGTTCTCCCTGAAGGATTCTTTCATAGTTTTGTAATGTAAATTTAAAATAAGGAGGAACAGGTTCTGTTTGAACTAGAATTATCTCAATTAACTGGCTAACCAATGGATATAAAACTTTATTTTGTCCTGTGAGCATTCTATTTAAATGAACAGTCACTTTTTTTATTCCCCCAGTGTCACATCTTTTACAGATGAAAACGAAAGCAGTATTTTACAAACAACAAAAAGCACAGGGTGTGAGGATTGTGAATTAGGAATCCCATTTCCACTGTGCTGTTTTTCTTAATAAATGCTAAACCGTAAGTAAAGCAATAAAGTGACCCAGTATAATTTACTGTCTTTGGCAATCATTTTTGTCTTCAGTTGAATGGGGTTTATTGTTTGTTGAGGACCAAAGAATGTCATGCTGACATGCTACACAAGGAGTTAAAAAGAGCATTCCATACAAAAAAATCCACCAGTTAGAGGATCAAAGGTCAAGATATGACATTATTAAATTCAACTGGCAACTGTATGTCTTTTCGTGCATATATTTTGAATATCTATGTTTTTAATTATAAGCCATATACATTCTGGAAAGGCCTTGTGTCCTCCAGTTAAAATTTAATGCTGTAGATCAAGACTTTGGGACTCCTAAAGTAAAGAATTAAAGTTCGAAATCTACAACTGCATCAAAGACAAAATACGAATATCAAATATAGTTGTTAGGCATGTAGTCAAAAACTATGGTCTCAGCAGCCACTTCCATGTCTTTCTCACTCATCCTGGGGACTTCATGACCACATAATATAATTCTCCCATTCTGCTCCTCTACGTAAGTCTTTTGATATTCAGAAGCCACATTGTATTGTGCCTTCCGTTGTGAGGAATCTGATGAAATAAGTATGTTCTAGCTATGGATAAACACCCATCAAAACTTTCACAAATTGCAATTGTGACTGCACTGATTGTGTTTCCACAATGCACCCTTTGCAGCATGTTGTAAGTCAGAGCAATCCCTAGAAAGACTTGAATTTTAAGCTCTCTTTAAACTGATTTTTATGTAAGTGTATTAGTTGCTCAGCTCTCCAGGGAAAAAGGCTGTTTAGCCCTCCCATTAAAGTCATGTGCAGAGGAAGAGAAAAGCTCATGAGGGCTATGGGTGAAACATGGCCTTGGTGACTAGGGCATTTATCTGGAAAATAGTATGTTTAAATTGTAAGAGACAGAGAATGGAATTAACCCACTTTTACACCCTAGGGAAATGTAGCATCTCTTACAAAACAGTAAAGGGGAAACAATGCCAGTAAAGGGTACCAGCAGTCTCCTTTCCTTTTTAAAGAAAACTTAGACTGCCTTTGCATTTCAACTGACAAGTTGCTGTTGCATAAAACCCTGTAACAGGCTCAGTCAGGTTTTGGGCATCCTAACTGAACTCTCAGAGAAGGCCTGAATTTGAACAAATCTATACTGGAGTAGCTCAGACCCCTAAGTACCATCCTACAGGTGAAAAACTAGGAAGTCTATAAAATATAGGCACCTCCAGGGCTAAGCACCATAGAGGATTAATTTTGACCACAGATTTATTTTAAAGACAAACATTCCAGTAGAGGTTATTTTAGATCCCTACACACAGTATCAAATCTCATCCCTAGTCTTTCAGTGTTTCAGCTTCTCCATGTATACCATCAATAATTTCTGTCAGTAGTATGCAGCTATTATGAGGATGAAATTGATAACCAGAGTTAATATGATGATGATAGTAGCATCTAGGAAGTTAGATAAAAATAATATGACATAATACCACTTAAAATGTTGCACAATATTAGAGACACATTTTAGCCCTTATGATTTATTTCATTCTTAGCAGGTTACACTAATCTCCTGTTGAAATGACCTTGTTTATGCCTGACATGGGCTGTAATTTTTAAAACAGCATCTCTTTTCAAATTCTCTGGCTTCCAAGCATACAAGATAAGAGGCTACTTGTAGACTTAGGTTTTACATTACAGTAAAATTGATGTTTATCTGTTCTATTTGCAATTATGATAGGGTTTTTTTTGTTTTATTTTTGTTTTGTTTTGTTTTAGATTCTGTTCCATTTTAGGGAACTAGATGGGCAGCAGAGGGGAAAGCTTTTTGCTTTGCATTGTTAACACAGCTCAAGCCTGGGTCAGGAGAAATCCTCTAGAAGAAGGGGAGATGCTGCTTTCCCTGACAGCAGCTGACCTTGCTCAGCTGGGAGAAGCTTCGGAAGAGCAGGACGTGTGTAGCAGAGTGTGAAGGACACAGCAAGCAGAGGGTCCACAGCAGGAAGAGGCTGGGCAGCCCCAGAGAGGATAAGTATGCAGGAACATAGCCAGGCCTCCCAGAGGCAATAAGGAAAAAAAAGATTTTTCTTTGGACAGGAAAGGGAGAGAGGCTGCTGGAAGCAGAGAAACTGCTAAAAGTTTCTGGACAAAGATCAGGACTGGAAAAATATCTACTGTTGGAGGAGAGTGTACATGGGAGGGAGGAGATTTTTAGGTTATTTTTCCTCTAAGGAGAAGATTTAGGATTTCTTGTTTATAGGAATGCTGGAACAAAACTTAACTTTTAGCTTGAAAGTCCTGATGATGTCCTGCTGTGCTCACTTTAAATAAAAGGTTCATGCAATTTAATCTCAAATCTCACATTCACTGCAGTCTTATCACAGTCAGACATATTTCTTATTCAAATTCTTTTCCATTTTTAAACAAATATCACCTACTCAGTAAATCTTTATTATTTTAAAACATTTGTAGATATTCATTTATGGGAAGGATTTTGACTTGCTGTGTCTCAGTGGTTCAGATAAGGCTAGATGAGAAAGCCTCATCAAATTTCAGGTGTACTTAAATGACTGGAGTTTTCAAGCTGGGCAAAACAGTGACATCACCCACTGCCCCCACCCACCAAGCAAAGCAATGCAGAACAAGACAATACAATACAAAACTAATACTTGAACAGCTGGATTAACTGCTTACCCCAGGCAATAAGGTCCACTCTTATCAGTGACATCATCAGTGTCGTTTCACACAGAGGATTAGCTGTGTAAAGTGGAACAGAAAGAAAATTCATTCCCATTAGAAATGTGAGTAAATTGTCATCATGTTGCTTGAGCAGAAGACAGCCTGAAAGACAATATCCCATGGAAACTTGTGTCAAGAAAGCAGCTGTCAGGAAAGATAAGGTCAAGTAAGTAATGGTCATTTCAGCTCCTCAAAATTGCAATAATTTTGTGGTTGAATGTCCTTTGACCATGCTGGGCAAGAAACCTGGAGGCTGCTGCTGCTTAGTGATAGGACCATCATCACAGGGCAATCACGCAGGTAAATTTTGCAGGCTTAATTCATACTATGGCTAAACAGCAAAGGACTTGCTTTCTCCAAAGGGGAGGAAAGGGTGCTGTGTTCCCTTGAACATCCAGAACAGGTGTAAGAGACATCTCCTTATGTGTATCCACAGGAAACCAAACACCTGACCTGCCCCACCCTTTGGCAGTAGGCCTGACCCCACTTTGGGGGCTGATGAAGCAAATGAACAGGAACAAGACATCAGCTGTATATGGTACCCAATCCCTCCTCATTTTACCCTCTGCTACTCTACTAGTAATGATTACTAGTAGTAATAATTATAGTTTTTTAAGAAAAATAAAATGTCACAACCCTTTCATATGTTTACTATGCAAGCAAGCACTTAGTTCACCTAACTTTCTTTTACTTAGTGAGTATGGGAAGATGTTAAAATAAAACATTTTAACATTGCCACATTTTCCGAAGTGCTTTTACCAACACAAAGGGCTTTTTCCAGCAGAAGGCCTAATAATGTCAAGAGTGCAGGAGGTCCCATAAGCAGAATTAATGGCAGTTTCATGCAACACGTGAAATTATAATGCATCTTATGAGTAAATCAAATCACTTTTTCTTTATAATTTTGAATTCCAAGGGGCCATGAAACACATATTTAAAAGGTGTGCAGAAGGACCTTATTCATTAAACAGCAGAGAAAAGTAGTTGAAGCTTTATTAAAAATTGACTAATAGGCATTCCAGATAATTGAACTGACAGGCTGTTTTGACAGCTGCAAGCAAAAATGTACTTTCTCTAAACAGTTGGTGTAAATCTTTTAGATTTCTAGAAAGAGAAATGATGTACTGGTTGAACTTTAATCAGTTTATGAAGTTAAAAGAAATGGTAACTGTTCACCTGACTAGTTGAAGTTATGCTAATTGGAGGTGCTGCCAGTCATTTCAATGGTAGGGTTTGAGCTGAAAGAATTCCCAAGTTCTCACACAATGAGAAAGGTGTAAGGTGAGTACTTAAAAAAGTTTTACTTAGCAGAAAGATGTAAATTAAGATGAAAACTTAACTCTGAACTAGATTTCCAGAAAGGCACCGGAATATTCAATCTGACTGAAGTTAGTGGATTTTGCAAGAATCTATCAGCTTTGAAAATCAGGCTGCAACTAACTAACAAATGTGACAATCTGCACCTTAAGTGGGCTAATATAAAGTAACAGGCAGCTATAATGTCTAAATGAAAAAATAAGAAGGAAAAGAAATAAGAAGGAAAAAACCCCCAAAACCAGAGAAAGGCTACTTATCAGACTTTCCAGGTTTGAGAATTTAAAGTAGCAGGAAGCAAGAAAAAAATAATTATATAAGTTAGGGAAGAAAGACAAGATAGGATTAATGTTCACTGAAAAGGAAAAATTGAGCAGGCAGCTGTCGAGAAAGGAGAAAGAAATTTTAAAAAGGACAAGCAAAATATTAAATATTAAAATATGAAAAAGGTAAAGTAAATGAGTACTTAAAAAAACCTAGTGGAACATTAAGTATTTTAAGAGTTTTATGTAGGTATTGACATACATACATAATTACAATTGACATGAGTGTAGAACTTATCAATAACACATTGAGAATAGAACCGTGTTACTCCACATTCAATCTTTAGGTGTTCTTTAATCTGTGTATACAAGTATACATTTTATATCTTGATTTAGAACAGCCCTATCCTCTTTGTAAAGCTCACAAAAAGAAGACTAAATCAGCTGATCTCACTGTGTCACTTCAACTAGAGGCATATATACAATAGTACAGCAACAGCTAAGAGAAGAGAAAAATCTTAGAAAAAAGGAATAGCTGACACACTGAGAGTAGTCTAGCTGTTGTTTAATTATAACATCTCAAAACCAGAAGGACATTATTGAATTTCTCTCTGTGTTTTTATTTTATTAATAAATAAACAAACCAAGAGTTTTAGTATCCAAACACTGCTGTGCTGATGTTTGATTACTGTACTGGATTGATATATAATAACTGAACAAGAAATCTATATGATGTTTTGATGCTTTTATTTGATCTAGACATAGAAGTGTTGTAGTCATTCCATGTGAGAAAGATTGTTGTTGGAAATGTGTGTTTCACAGTTATCAGTATTAAACTACACTTTTTACCAAGAACAATCAAATAATTGACTACTAGTAAAACTGGTTTGCAAATGAAATTTGATTGATATTTTATATTTCTTGGGACTATATGTGGCACAGCTTTGTATAAATTATATTTGTTTAATATGCAACCGAGCTCAGAATTGCCAGGAACAATTTAAACCCCATAAATGTTTCCTCTAAATTGAATCAGAGAAGGCTGAGAAACCTCTAAACACTGTACAGGGATTCAGTGTTTAGGTTTTAAATGAAACTATTTTAAAAATTGGAGCCTTGCCATCATTTATAACACTGTCAGAGTCAGTGCTTTGACAAAATAGGTTGATTTTCCTCTTCTGTTCCTAGCTCATCTTTGTTGGAGGCTTTCACTGTTAAATGCAGTAAATGAGGGAGGTGGGAGGTGCAGAGAGAACAAAAAGGTAAATGAAACATTATTATGGAAAACTATTCTCAGAAATTGGATTTTATATTCAGTATGGATATTTTTGCCTACATACAACCCTAAAGACCATTTTCATGAAACACAAAAAACCCATCTCAGATATTTTCTAGTTTCATTATATCCAAATGCATTAGTTTTTTGGTTTCAATGAAGATTTACACAACCTATATTGCACAAGGTAAGTGTAAATAAGAGCTATAAATTGCTAAGCAGTTAATGTTGCTTGTGAATAGGCCTATTGTTCTCTAAACAGCCCAAATTTTAGAGAATCCAGCTAACTTAACGCCTATGAGGTGCCATACAGGAAAAATGCTATAAAAATCTAATAACAATAAATATGCATTGGTATTAAGTTATATTAGTTTGGGTGAAAGTGCATATATTTAGAACTTATTAGTATATATACAGTTAAAAGGAGTTTAAATTAAAAATGTCGTGGGCACACGTTTGTCCAGCTCACCGCATAAGTACTTATCCCTTCATTTGATTTGATGCTTTGTCATTAATTCTTGGAAATACAGGCTATCTAGAAGTGTCTGAACTGTAAAGATTGGGAATATTGCATGCTTCCAGTGCAGTCTACAATGAAATTCACATGAATGGAGCACACTATTGTTTAGCAACACAACTTTCTCTAACTTTTAGAAAGACAATGTTTTAAGAGAAGGTCTAGAGAACATACCAGATCTTAGAGAAAAAGTAGATCTGCTTATTTTGGATGGCTAATATCAGGATTCAAAATAAAAACCTAGATTTCAAATCCTTTGCCATATGCTAGATTTCAGTGGCAGGATTCATAGCAACTCTTTAAATCTCCTTAGCTCTACTGTACTCAGTCCACTGAAAGGTAGAGATAATTGTTATTTGATGTTAAGAAAGAGGAAATATTAATGTGTCACCAAGTCTCTACTGCTAAAGATAGCATCTACAAATCTAGCAAAGAAGAAAATATGGTAAAGGATCAGCTTTCACAAAATAAACTGGGAGTTTCCAATCAGTGTCAAAGCAATTCAAACAGGATAATAAAGTTAACTACAAAATACCTATCTTTTGCTCTATGAAGACACTATATCCAGTGCCAGAGACAGTTAATTCACAGCCAGTTTTCACGCTGCTACCATTCCTTCCAGTGTATAACATAGTCATACTCTACCATTGCTTTACTTCTGCTGTTAAAGCTCTTGGACACATGAAAATGCATTTCTGAGCACCATTCAGATATGATAAGATGTCTTCATCTACTTGAACATAAAATGTGCTAATATAAAAATGAGCTACTGGTTGTATTCTAGCCTTAAGGTTACTGCAGCTTATCTTCTAAGGCTGAAGAAATAGGCCATAAAACCATGCTTTGAATTAAAAACATGCCTAGACTCTGAGAGTTAGGTATATTCTTCTTCTGGTGGTCTGTTTCTAGACAATTCATGGGTAACAGGAAATTTTAGGAACTAAACAGAATAGTAACTCTCACAGCAACAATTTCTCATATCATCATATAACTCACTATTTTGACTACAATGGTAACAGCAAACACATTTAAAAAGAAAGGTCATCACTTTTAATTACAGTACATTAAAAAAGTAATCTTTTGGTAAAATATGCCAGTTTCAATTAATATGAATTGATTCAAAATTGATATGCAGTGGCTCTGAACGATAATTTTTTACTTTAAGAATAAATTGAGCTTAGAAGAGTGTATATTGTATTGAAAATATTGGATTGACCAGGAAATTCAAAGAAATTAAAAGGAAATGGATTTGAGGGGAAGAAAGTTTGAAGAGATCACAGGAAAATGAGGCACATCCTAAAATAGTTTGGAAAAAATATATTCCTATGGGTTATTCCTTCTTTTGTCATGCCCGTCTCTTAAAATTAGGCTATGTCCAAGTCAAAGTGATGCAAACTGGTAATCATCCTTTCCTCTGGCTCTCTAGTTCAGTTAAACATGAAAATCATGAAATATAAAAAAATTATCCCTCAGCTTCAAGTTAAACCATTCCTTGAGCTTGAAAGAGAGTGGGAGGAATATGGGGAGTATCATTAGGAGTTGGGAACAGGATGTTTCCTACAATGAACAAAAAGAATTTGGAAGAAACTTGCTCAGTTCATTGTGGCTCATTAAAATTTTTTTTCATATTCATACAGACTAAAACCTA